CACAGTATGCCATTGCAACCGTATATATACCACCATATCGTAAAATTGGATCCTATAAGTGAAAAAATTAAAGTAAACTTAAGTATATTATGAATTATATTAAATAATGTTCAATTATAAATACTCAAAGCTTTTTACCTTATCTTGACTAAGTGTTTCAATTAATACATCAGCAGCTTCTTCTTTACCATACATTATCAGCGAAATACCGATTGCCAACCCTCGAATAATTTTTTCATGCTGAGTTTCGTGTGCATATTGTAGCATCTCTTCTATTGCTTTTTTTGAAGCGGTACCAAGCATGACAAGTCCCATAGCCAATCCAGCGGCCTCTCCTGCAACCGCACTATCGCTAAAGAGAACCTCTCTAAGTTGATCATATATTTCTTAATGAAACAAATATATACATATATAAGTATGTAAATATGTATATTTTTATTTGAATTAAATAAAGTTTATATATATGTATGTATAGGATAATTAACAAATGTATTAAATGAAACTGTTGATAAAATACCATTATTTTCGGTTGCCATCCCAGCTGCACCGAGACCTAAGCAAGCACCATGTTGAAGAACTTCAGTTTGTGTATTTCTTAGTGCATTTCGTAAATAATCCAATACACCGGCACCATGATTCGCATGAATTAATCCCAGAGCGAATAACGAGCCACCTTCTGAATATGAACTTCCATTAACACCGTCTTGTGGTAAATATGGTTGCAGTAAAGTGAGTCCCTGAGATAAATGTCCTTTGTGTATTACACCAAGAGCTGCAGTAGCACTGAATTTTGACCAATTTGTGGCACGCGAAAGCCATTCAAGATTTTGACGAAGAAATTCATCGCTTGTTGTTCCAGCGTGCATGAACGCGTTGGCAAATGTAACAGCAGAGTGATACACAGAATTTCGAGATTCTAATGCATTCTATTATAAAAAATTAAAATTTTATTAAACACTCATACTAATTAAAATTAAAAACAAAAAAATAATATATCATACTTTAGTGTTTTTCAAAATAAGTAAATCGGTATGATTATTTCGATACAAAAATTCCAAGTGTAATTTGATAGATTCTTCCCCAGACAATATATTACGAATACGGACGTATTTTTCATCCGGTTGACTAGCAGACTGGTAAAAATTAATATATGATAAAGTTGAAATTTAACGAGAACTTAATGAATAAATTACATAATTACCTCAGTTTCGTCAGTTTCCATAGCTTCACCATCTTGTTTTTCATTACGAGTAGATGATGATGTTGAGCCAACAGGTAATTCATTTATAACTCTTTGAAGAAACTCTTGAGTAGCGTTTTCTTCAAGGTCAAATGCAATTTGATAAGCCATCAATAATAAAGCCTGCAATTTAGTAATAATACAAAATAGTTAATATTAAATATACATAAGACCATTAAATATTTTGTAAAATCAATAAATTTGTTAAAATAAGTATAAATACATCATCGCATTTTGTAACAAGATCTTGTAATAGTTTAGCAGCCGATGAAGAATTATTCAAATGTACAAAGCATTGACTGATTGATATATAATCAGGTTCCGCAAGGTTTTGATATAATTTTACCAACAACCATAGAACCTAAAAAAAATAGATATAATTATGAATTTAAATCTTTGGTGACAAAATATAAACGAATATTTATAAATCTATTAAATAATTAACCTTATTTCTAAAATCTAAATTGAGAACCAATGTCATACTCAAATCTAAAACATAGGCCAAGAGTTCAGAAGACGGGCCTTTGCTTATTGCCTCTTCAATGACATCTAATCTACGGGCTTCCAATGCGATACCAATTGCCTATTTTGAATATAAACATTTGATAAGTGATTCAAATTTTAAAATATTTTATATGTTTTGAAATCACCATTACTTGTTTAAATTCCCCGTCATCATAACATCGTTGAAACATTCGTTCAACAACGTCTTGTAACCGTGGATCTATTGGCTGAGCATTTGAAGGATTGTCATATTCTTGTACACGTAACGAGATAAATTTATCGATGCATTTAGCTAAATATTTAGTATAAATTTTTTTTTTAAAAAAAAAAGGATATAAATAATTTTCGTTAATTTTCGTATTATATTGACTTTTTAAGCTACAATCAAATATAAAACTTACATATGATGGTCTCAACATATTCCAGCTTAGAGGACGCGTCAAACAAATCGCCA